TGGTGTTGACGAGTTTTGCTCCAGGCGGGGCCTCGGTTCGGGTCCACACGGTTGCCGGGCTCTGACCCTGCACCCCCGGGGCTTCCGCCCTGAGGGTCTGCCTCCCGACTCTTGCGCTCCCTCCAGGGGCTGGCATGGCTCTCCCCTCCCGGCACGGCACCCGTCTCGGGGAGCACTTACGGTGACCCATCTCCTTGTCCCCGCGGGCTGCGGGCTGCCCCGGGAGCAGCGCCCCGGCTCTGGCTGCGGCCCCCAGCTGTCGTGCTCCTGACAGGGGTGGGGGCGCTGCACCCTCGTTGTTAGGCTTGAAGAGACGGTAGGGTCTGGAGCCTGACCTGGGTGGAACTGGCCACGAGTCAAGGCTCATCTTCATCGCAATGTGGGCTGATGCTGCTACACGTCTGGTTATTGGCGAAAGAGCAAGGGAGTGAACGGAACAGAACAGAGAGCCCAGAAGTCGACCCTCATAAGTACTGTCCCCTGATCTTTGACAAAGGAGCAAACGCAACACAATGGAGAAAAGATAGTCTTTTTAACAAATGGCTGAAACAACTGGACAACCATGTGCAAAAAAAACAAAACAGTGAATCTAGACACTGACCTCACATTCTTCACCAAAATTGTCTCCAAACAGATCATGGACTCATATGTAAAATACAAATTCATGAAACTCCTGAAGAATAATAAAGGGGGAAAACCTAGGTGACCTTGGATATGACTGTGAGTCCTAGATACGGTACCGGAAATGCGACCCGTGGAAGAAATAACTGATACACTGAATTTTATTAAAATTAAAAACTTCTGCTCTGTGCAAGGCACGGTCAAGGGAATGAGACGGCAAGCCACAGGCAGGGAGAAAATATTTTAAAAAGTCGTGTCTGATAAGGAACGAGCTTTTCAAATCCGTCACCGCGACCCGGAGAAGCAGAGTGCCTGGCCCAGGCCCCACGGCGGCGGAGCTGGTCGCACATCTGGCCTCGCGGGTCCGTCCACAAACGAGGAGCACAGAAGCGTGCGCCCAATGGAACGTTGCGCAGCAATAAAAAGAATGAAATTCTGCTGTTCACGACCTCGTGGACGGACTTGTGGGTATTAAGGCCAGTGAAATAAGTCAGAGAAAGGCAGGAAGCAAACCAAGCGAAGCGAAGCAAACCGAACAAAAAGGTCCATAGAAACAGACACCAAAGGGACGGCCGCCGGAGGGGAGGGCAGTGGGGGCTGACCGTCGGGCACACGCGCCCGGTCCGCCTGCTGACAGGCGGGTGCCAGACCTCGCCGGGCGATGGCAACGGAACGTATAAAGCTGTCGAATCCCTGTGTCGTGCACCTGAAACATGTAACTAAAATAACCTGGTACACCAACTGTACTTCCATAAAAAAAAATTTTGAAAACCAATAAATCCACTCAGGTCTCGTGGCTCCCGTCCTCACGTAGGGCCTCAGCCTTTGTCACGGGCTTTGGCCTCCTGCAAGAGGCCCTCCTCAGGGGCGCGTCTCCCCTCGCGGCTGAGCTCGCCCGCTCTGAACGGCGGTGGACTCCGCAGGCGCTGGCCCCCGGGCCTGGAGCACCTGTGCCGCTGGGAGGCTGTTAAAGGCGAGGACGCTTTCACCCCGAGACGCCAGCTCCCAGGGGACGTTGCCAGGCTGGGCCGGCGATGCTGGTGGCTGACCTGCCGGAAACCGTCAGGTGCCATCCTGACTCAGCTGCTCGTCTGGCTGCTTCTCCTTCTGTGGTTGCCTTCCCGCCCGCACATCCTGCCTCGGTGGGGTCAGCCGCTGATTGAAGGGTTGCCCGGGGCGGCTCGGTTCTGAGGAAGTGGCAGGAAGGAGGAAATCGTCGAGCGGACGGGGCCAGCAATCATGGGGAGGGGCTGGAAGGTGGTCAGGGTGTCGGGGGAAGAGAAACAGCACCCAGCCAAGCAGAAGAGAGAGAAGGCAGCGCCTGCCGGTCCCGGCGGCTGGGCGTGCGGCGTCCAGCGCGGGAGCCGCTGGGGCTGATGGCCGGTACCTGCCCTCCTCCAAGCAGGCCCATCGGTAGCAGCCCCCGTGGGAACGTGGGCCGGATTCTCCTCGTCTTTAATGATGATAAAGACGAAACGTGTATGCCAGCAGCTGCATTAAGTGTTGAAAACAAGACAACAAGCCTAAAATGGAGCCACTTATGCTAAGCCTCCGGCCGTCGAACGCAGGGAAACCGAGTCAGACTGCCAAGTGGCCCAAGCCAGCACCTTAAATACTATTTCAGTGGAAGTAAAAGGTTGTTTTGTTTTGTTTTTTTGTGGGTGGGGGGAAATGGAGTTTTGGGAGGTTGTCAGGAGAAAACAGAGCAAAGGCTGCCTTGTTATGCCGATTCCAGGCTGTGCCCCCGCAGCGAGAAGAGTTTCCTGTGACCAGGGGCATCCGGACACCGGGGGCAGGTGTCTTCCCACCTGGAGGCTTCTGTCCAGCCCCCCGCCGCTTCCCCGGGGGGTGTTCTAATGCCTGTGGCATGACTGTTAACGTGGGTGTCTTAGTGTGCTCATTGCTCAACGCGGTCGTTTCATCATAGAACACAACAGCTCAGGGACGACGTCAATGCCCTCTTTTCAGGAGAAAGCCCTCCGTGGACGGGGAGCCCTCCCCCCTCGGGGCTGGCGCGGCCATGCGTGTGAGAGGGGGCCGGGAGGGGGGTCGCGGACGCGAGGCATGAGCGAGGGGCCCCAGGTCCTGCTTTCCAGGGTGGGGCGAGGCGGCTCGCCTGGTTGGGGACCGAGGCTGGTTTACAGGAGGGGCTGGGCAGCGCCTTCCTGTGGGTGCGGGAGGATGTGCCGTAGGTCTGTGCTGTGGGCGCTGCCTCCCTTCTGTGGGTGCTGGTTTACGGCGCGAATGCGCATGATAGGGAGGCCCTGAGGGGGTCTCTGACGCCACCCACAGGCTCGGAAGCCGAGCCTCGGCCCGCCGCCGGCTGTGCTCTTCCTCCTGCTGCCGGCCCGGCCACCAGCGGCTGCACGGTTGCACTGAGAGCTTTGAGGGCAGGCGGCAGGCCAGGGAGAGCACTGCCGTGACCCGGAGGAGAAGAGCAGCCAGCGCAGGGAGCCGAGGCGCCGCCCCCGCAGAGATCAAAGGCCTCGTGGAAAAGTTCCTTTCTCAGGTCAAGAGGCCTCTTCGAAGGCCTGCGTCTCGGCTTCCCCAGAAGCGCGAATCCAGGGCGCGGAGGGGTGTTTTCCGCAGCCTCCCTGCTCAGCTAGAAGACAGCTGAGGGCTTTCCTTTCCCAAGGATGACTTTGGCTGGAGAGTCTAGGGATTTTTGGGGGGCTGCAGTGCTGCCCTACTTACTGCGAGCCAGAGGGGTAGGGACCCGCCCAGCAGCGTGTGACCTCCGACGCGCCCTGGTAATTCCCGTGTGGCCCACACCGTTGGCTGAGAGGTGTAGCCCACGCCACACGCTGGCCTGGTTGTGGGCAGTCGGCTCAGACCACAGCGGCAGGCACCTCCGTCTGTGTGACGCCAGCTCCCTGGGCCTGGAGGGGCGCGGGCCCTGCCCGGGCGGCGTCGGCACCCCGAGCAGGAGCGCGGGGCCACCTCCAGGCACGGCCGCACAGCCTCGCGGCTCCCGACGGCCGCTCCCCGCGGGCAGGGAGCCCGGCTGCATGTCAGGGTCCGGGAGCCCCTTGGGCCAGAGAGACTGAGGCGCGAGGACCAGGGAGATGTTTGCAACCGGCAGGGCGACAAGTCCCAGTGTCGCAGACCCAGCAGGGTCCTTGGTGGCAAAACCAGCGATCAGATGCGTTCCCCTCCGGGAGGGCCTCGGAAACCTCTCCCCTGAGGCTCACGTGGGCAGAAGTCACAGTAAAACCACGACAATCCTTCGGCGGCAGGACTTGAAAACGCCCGAGGATGAAGATCTGAGTTTTTCACTAGAGCTCAGTTAAAAGCCAGACTGGGGGCAGGGAGGGAAGGGGCCGCGGCCACGCCTGTGGCCGAGGGCAGGGGCTGTCGAGGCCTCCGAGGCCCGGGGTCACGGCCTTGAGCCTTGGCTGCAGTGCTTCCCGAGAGGGGGTCTGGGAGACGGCCCGCCCGCGGGGACACCGGAGCGAGGCGGGCGCCGGGGCGAGGAGGACAAGGACAGAAAGCAAGAGAAGGAAGCACGCACCAGACACGGGGCACCTCGCTGAGTATCCAAACCCTCTGCAGTTCCCAAAGTCACCTCTCAGCTGAGAGGACCGTTCTGTGTTCACGCCAGGGCGGGGGGGGGGGGCAGGCAGCGGTGCTGCCAAACACCCCACAAGGTACCGGTGGGTCCTCGCTACAGGGGTCATTTGGCCCCAAATGTCAGCGGTACAGAAGCGGAGAAATCCTGCCTGGAGGGTCTTCAGTGCCGGCAGGTGAGGAACTGGAGGCCCCCAGGGGCTGCCCGGGGTCAGGGGCCTGCCCTCTCTGGGCTCGCGGGCCTTCCGTGGAGATGTGAACGGGCTGGCGGACCGACCGGCTGGGCGCAGGGGCGTTTGGCGAGTGCGGGAGTGAGTAGCCGGGCGAAGCAGGGAGGGGACAGTGTGGATGAGGGCCATCGGCCCTGGGGCCGGCGCTCCGCCCCCTCCTAGTCCCACACCTGAAAAGGGAGTCGGGATTACGACAAGGGAGGCTGCCTGGTGACAGTGGGGTGTCCGGCCGTCACTAATGCCAGAGGGGCCTGTGTGGTGCCCGGGCCCCGGGTGTGACTGGGGGCCTGACAAGGCTGCCACGCCCTCCGGAGTCCTCTCTCCTGCAGAGACAGAGACAGATCGCAGGTCCCCAGCCCAGTCCCGTGACTGTCCTCTCTTTCTCCATGAGACCAAGCCCAGGGGGGCTCCAGAGGAAGGGGAGAAAGTTGTTCCCAGTTTCTAAAATTTCGGTGAATTTGGAGCTGGGCTGAGCCAGCTTCTGGGAAGCCCTGCGCCTTCAGGGAGGGAGCAGTTCGGGGGGGAAAGAGGGAGGGAGGGGCCTGTGATAAAGCTCTGCAGCTCACTTCCGCTTTTGGACTTCAGGCTTCAGAGCCGGTCTGTCCCTGGGGTGCCAGCGGTGAAGCCGCCTGCCTGCGGAGTCTGCTGGTGCCTTCAGGCCTCCGCTCTAGGGGTGATGGGGGTCCCCTCGGCCCTGCGCCTCCCTGCCGCAGAGCGTGCCCGGGCTGGCTGCCCGCGCTGCCGCCCTGGGGGCCACCTGCTACTGTGGGCAGCTCTGCTAGTCCTGGGTGAGTCGGGGTCCCCGGAGGCACAGAGGCGGAGCGGCGCGGCCGGCGGCCCCTCGGGCGGGGCGGAGCCCCGCGAGCACACGGGGCGGCGGTCAGCAGGCCGGCAACAACAGGCTGCTGGGGCGCCTGCTCGCCCTACCTGCCGGCTCGGCAGGGTGCGACGGTGGCAGAGTTGGTGGGGTCGTTTTAAAGCGTCTTTTGCCAGCTCCCCCTGGGATGCCCGGGTCTCTGACGCTCTGCCACCCCCACCTCCGAACAGCCTGCTTCGAGGAAAGCCCAGCGGGCCGCGCTTGAATGCCTTGGGGGGGCCGGCTTCCCGTCCCCGTGAGGTGGGGAGGCCCGCAGCTCTCAGACGGGGGCGGGGAGGAAGCTGGAGACACTTGGGGAGCAGTGGCTAACCTCTGCGCCTCCAACCCCACATCAGGCAGCAAGAGCCTCTTCCTGTCCCCGCGGCTCAGGGACATGCCACCTGGGTGACTCTGGAGACACCCTATCCTGCCTGCCCACACCACACATGTGGGTGCCCAGCCCCCCGCTCGGGCAGAAAGCCAGGGTCTCAGGCTGAGAGGGAGGCTGACCCTGCTCGGCCGGGGCCAGGGGTCGGGGCGGAGGCTGCTGGGCGGGAGGGAGAGCCCAGGGCAGGCCACCGAGGGGACCTGCTTCCAGGACCGTCCCCGAGCTCAGTTCCTGGAGCTGCCCGCTCACCCGCCTCCGGAGGCCCCGGGGGAGACACAGCGCCTCTCCCCAGGCTCTGAGCGTGCTGGCGCCTCACACGTGACACTCAGGAGACCTGCCTTGGTGCCTCCACGTCCCCGCCACCTGGGCGGACGGCAGGGGACAGGTGCCATTTCCTTTCATTTGTCCCTTTGCTATGTCACCAAAGATCTGGCCCTCTTTTCTGTTCTTTTTTTTAATCCTCCACTGAGGACATGGTCACTGATTTGAGAGGGAGAGAGCGAGCGAGCGAGGGAGGGAAACACCGGTCAGCTGCCTCCCGTACGCGCCCCGACCAGGAACTGAACCTGCAGCTTTTTGGTGCACGGACGACGCTCCTCCCGATGGACCCACGGGCCAGGGCCCCCTGTTCGGTTCTTCTCAGGGGCAGCTTTTACCGCCTTGGCGGCCCCTGCCTCCCCCACACCGCCCGGTCCACGCCGCACACAGAGGTCACGGCCTCGTCAGGCCGTGGCCGCGCCGCTGGTTTGCAGGGCCTGCTGGACGGAGCGGGAGGTCCCGCTGCAGCCAGGCCCGGGGGCCTGCCCTTCCCGCTCCTCTGGGGCCGCAGGTGGCCTGGTTTAAAGATTTGAGAAATGCCGGTGCAGGCGCTGGTCCAGGGACCCCCTCGCAGCGACCCCGCTGGGTGGGCGCCCAGCGTCCGTGGCTGTTTGTGGGGGGCTGAGGGGCGGGGGCTTCTCCCTGCTTCGCAGCTCTCCCCCCGGCCGCCGCCTCCGCCTCCGTGTCTTCGGCCCCCAGCCCGGCCTGCGCGCCCCGGCTTCCGGCCGTCCCTTCTCGGGCGGCCTCCCGTCCCGCCGCCCTGGCTCGTGTCCGGCGCAGTGGCGCCGCCTCGCTGACTTGGCGGCTCAGAACACGCCGCGTTCGGCACCCCACTGCCCCCTTCCCGCACGCCCGTTCTCTGCCCGCGGCCGTGTCCGAGCCGCCGCGTCCCCGACCCCCCGTCAGGCGCCGGCTTCCTGCTCTTCTGCCTGTCCAGCGTCTCCCTGTCCGAGTCCTTGCTCGCTCCTCGCGGCGCCGCGCCTCCCGCCTAGAGCCGCTGGGGGTGGCCACCGCCCCGCTGAGCGCGCGTCCTGCCGAGGGTGTGAGCCGGCGGCCGGGCGCGGGGGCACCCACACGGCTCGGGAAGGGCTGCGGGGTGTCGGCCGGGGGGAGGGCGGCCTCCAGGAACGCGAGGGCGGGGAGCGTCCTGAGGGGCCACACGGAAGCGTGGGGGCGGTTTCGTCCCTTGGAGAGACTAAGGGGCCGTTCGGAGCGGGGGGCCCGCAAAGACAAAGGCCCGAGTCGGTGGCTGGCGCTGCTGGAGCCCAGGGAGCAGGGAAGGGGGCCGACAGGGCCGCTGGGGCCTTGGGAACAGGGACGCGTCTGGCGCCGGGAGAAAGGGAAGCCCGCGAAGGTGGGAAGGGAGCGAGGCGACCTGTTTAAAGTAACTCCCGCTTCTCGGCGGGAAGTGGGCCGCAGCGGGGGGGGGGGGGGGGTGCCCCGAGATCCGAGGGGGAGGCAGGCTCAGCAAGACCAACGGCGTGAGGGGGCGGGGCGCGGGGGCTACGGGGCGCTGGGGAGGCGGCGGCACCCGGGCCGGGGCGGCCGCGTCCCTCCCATGACGTTGAGTGGACAGGCAGGGCAGACCCCACGACCAGGGGCAACATGGGACGGCTTACACCCGGGGAAGCGGGACCCTCCGGCTGTGAGGGCAGCAGGGACGTGAGTGTGGACTCCCACGTGGGGTCCAGCGAGAGGTTCCTCCGCTTACGGAAGGTGCCGGAATGCACTTCTGTCCCTGGGGACAGGCAGCTGAGGAGGAGACCGGGGGCGGGGGGCGGGGGCGGCAGAGGGCCGTGTCGCCGGGCCGCTCAGGGTCCTCGGCACACGGCGACCGTAAGTTTGCAGTCGCCGGCCTGCCCGCCCCTGCTAAGGACTGCCTGTGTGCAGTGACGCGGGGCCGGACGCGGGCAGGCGCGGGCAAGGCGGGCGGGCTTCGTGGACACCGGGGAGGGCAGGGTGTCACCGCAAGGGCGGATTCGCAAGGAGGCGACGTCCGTGGCCGCCGACCGTGCTCTCTCCCCCACAGCTCCCGCGGCGGCCGCCGAGGCTCCTGGCACGCCTGGTGAGTCCGCCCCGGCCCCGGCGGCCCTGCCCCTCTGCCCCCAGCACCCGCCTGCCCGCCTGCAGGCCCCTGCGCCCTCACCCCCTCGCCTTCCTCAGCCCCCTGTGCCCGGGGCCAGGGGCCCCAGCTTCTGGTTCTGTGCTGGGGACAGGCCGGTGCGGACCCTGCCGCCAGAATGACCCCGCCCCCTCAGCTGCCTTCCCCCAGCGGCGGCCACCAGTTCGGCCGTGAGGGGCCTGGGCCGTCTCCCTGCCCGCCCAGAGCTGACGCAGCCTCCGCTTCACGCGTGCCTGAGGGCCTGGGCCGGGGTGGGCACCCTGGGGAGCCGCGCAGGCGTCCCCAGGACGGGGTGGGGAGGCTCTCCCAGGGCCTGAGCCCGGTCCTGGCACCCCCGCCCCCCTTCCTCCCTCTTTCCCTGCCTTTCCGCGCTTGGGGGTGGTGAGGACAGGTCAGCCCTGAGTTAGGGTGAAGGGGGCCTTGTGGTCGGAACGGAGGCCACACCTGCACCTCTGCCTTCATCCAGCTGTGGGGAGGGTGCACCCACGGAGTCCGGATGCCGCAGTTTGCAGGGGAGGAGACCGAATCCCCACGGGAAGGCATGGGAGGGGGAGAGAGAGCGGGTTGGGGTGCCCCGGTGAGCTGCGCCCCTCTTTCTAGAGTGCGGCCCTGCCCCGGCCCTTTTGTTCTTGCTCTTGCCTCTCCCGAGGAGCGGCCCGGCTCCTGCGAGGCCCGGGCCCCGTTGGGGGCCGCGTCGAGGGCTCTGCCTTCAGCCGCACACAGCTCTGTGCTGGTTCCGCTCTTGGGGTCCCCAGCAGGACCGCAGGGGCTCCCTGCCTGAGATTCGAGGCCGCCCGGGTCCTGTTGCCTCAGGCTTCGCTCTCCCCTCGGCAGGTCCCCCGAAGGCCGTGGTGCACCTGGAGCCCCCCTGGTTCAACGTGCTCCACGGGGACAACGTGACTCTGCACTGCCAGGGGGCCCACGGCCCCGGGAACGCCCCCACCCAGTGGTTCCACGACGGGATCCCCGTCCCGACCCAGGTCCAGCCCCACTACAGCTTTAAGGCCAGCAGCAACGACAGCGGAGACTACCAGTGCCAGACGGGCCAGACCACCCTCAGCGACCCCGTGCACCTGAACGTGACTTCCGGTCAGTGGAGGAGGCCCGGCAGGGCCCGGGGGGCGAGGACGGGGCTGCGGGGTGTCAGGGAGGGGGGCCGGGCCCTGGGGGGCAGGGCTGCGAGCAGCTGGAGTCTTTCTGCCCAGTCACTTCCCTCCCCGTCCCTGCCCTTCGCTCCCGTGTGGGGTGCCGCAGAACGAGATTGTTTGGCCACAGTCCTGATTAAGCAAGAAGGCAACAAGGCCACCAGCAGGCCATGGGGGTGGGGGGGAGAAGCAGAGGGGAGCCCTGACTCCAGAGACCCCGCTTTCCCGGGAGAGTCAGGGGCGCCGCGGGGCTCGGCCCTGCGCGTCCGCCGTCTCGTGCCCCGAGTCCGCCCCCCGTGCTCTGGGCGGGCGCCGACGCCGGTCGGGCTCACTTCCCAGCACCCGCCCTCTGTGCACATCCGGCCCAGCGCAGGGCAGCTCCGTCCGTGTCTGCGGGCCAGGTGGCTGCTCTCACGCGGCTGCGGGCAGCAGGCAGCGCTCCGGGAGGGGAAGCTGCAGTGCCCTGGCGACACGCTGGCAAGGGCGTCGCCACTGGTCCCCAGTCCTCAGCTCATGCCCACGTCTCCCTCACAAGTGCAGAGCAAGGCAGCAGGGGGCTCTCCCCCGGCCCAGCAGCGGGGGACAGGCCCCCAGGGAAGGTCGGGCAGCCCTGCCCCTCCAGGAAGGGGAGGAGGCAGGGGACACACCGAGACAGGCAAGTCCCCACCAATGGCTGCCCCAGGCAACGGGACCAGCAATGAGGTGGCTGCCCCCGGGAGGACTTGGTGACTGGCCGCCAGGAGCTCAGGTCCCGCGGGGCCTCCCGGGGGCAGCTCCGCGAGACGGTGGGCACAGCGGGCAGGGCGGGCGGCAGGGCCCAGGGCGCAGGGCCCCGCAGCAGCAGACCAGCTCCCGGCCGCAGGCATCCGCCCGCCCCGCCCTTGCCCGCCTCCCCGCCAGCCCCTGGGCAGCAGCTCCGGGCACGGCCACCGCCGACCGGGCTGCAGGTGGCCGGGTCCTGGGAGGCACCGCTGCGAGCTGCTGGGAGTCGCTCCTGCCCAGTCATTTCCTTCCTGCCCCACCTGTTGCTCTGGGCAGGCGCTGCTGGGCCCAGCCCATCCCTGAGTTCCCGTGCTCCGGGCCCACACACATCCAGGGCCCCAGCTGCGGAACTGGTGGCAGGTAAACCGGACCCCGGGCCTCCCAGCTCCCCCAAGGCCTCAGGCGCTGCTGGGTGTCAGACTCCTGCGTCCGCGCAGGTGCAGCGCCAGGTGCGGGCCAGGGCAGTGAGGAGCCCGCAGGCCGCTGCCCTTCGGTGCCGTCTGCCCCTGCCCCCCAGGCCTCTCGCCAGGCCCTTGCTGCGGCCCTGGCTCCCTCCGGGGCCTCAGGCCCGTCCCCCAGCCACAGCCACGCTGAGGCCGGCGGTGGGAACAGCACCCCAGGGTGGGCGAGTCCGGCGGCGGCGGCACCCGGGCGCTCGGCTCCACCGCGTTCCCTGGGAGCAGGTGGTGGCGGCGGCTGCCCCAGGGATGGCCCAGGACAGCTGGGCCCTGGCCAGCAGCCCACATGGTGCCCGTGGGCCAGGGCCTCCCCTGACACAGCTGCACCCCGTTCCCCGGCCTTGGGAGAACAGGTGGGGGCCGGCAGCAGGTGCGTGGACGACGTCGGGTGTCCCTCGGCCACCACCGCCGGGTCCTGCTGCCTCCTGCACCTGCACCTGCACCTGCCAGGCAGCCCGGGGGGCCGGCCGGCAGCTGCCTGGGCCTGAGCAGGAGGCACGGCGCCGCCGAGCACCTTGGGGGCAGCAGAGAACTGGGCCAGCGCCGCGGGGAGGCTGATTCCCCTGCAGGGACCCGGCAGCGGTCGCCTGCCCGTGAGCACCGCCCCCTGCATTGGCCACGGTGTCCAGACAAATGGGTGGTGACTCACACCCCACAGGTCACTGGGGAGCCCCGGCTGTCACCCACGTCACTGGAAGCTTTTGTATCCAACGAGGAGCAGAACCGGAGTGAGAAGCACTGCAGACGGGGCTGGGACGGGGCTTGCGGGGGGGGGGATGGCCCGTCGGCCGGGCAGACAAGCGGCGAGAGTCCCAGGTGTCAAGCCGCCTGTGCCTTCGAGGTTCTGCTCCGGGAGCTGCCGCCACCAGTTCTGGCCGAAGACAGGAAAAAATGAGCGCGTTTCAGGAAGCCAACTGTGCTGGTCCAGCAGGGACGCCGCCGCAGCGGATGTGCCGGGACCCAGGGCCAGCATCACGGCCGAGGGGGCCCAGCTGCGCGGTCACCCTCTCCCCCGGGACACGGAGGGCTGGGCGTGGGGGCCGTGCCCCGGGGGCCTTGCACGCGGCTGCACCGCCCCACCCCGGGTCCCCTCCGGTCGTCCGGCCGTGGGAAGGCTGAGGAGGCATGTGCGGTTCTGGCCCCTCCACCGACGAGGCTTCCAGAGGCCTGCAGAGGCGTTTCCCAGGAAACCGATGGAAAGACCCTTTTGCTGCTCAGAGAAGAACGGCGCCTCCCGAGCGAGCGGGGCCCCACCCCGAGAGCCGCACCAAGATGTGCCCATCGGCGCGTCGGGGCTGTGCGCAGCCCGGCCCGAGGAAGGCCCTCCCCACCGTCCCCTCACGACCCGGAGCAGCAGGCACTGCAGGGACGGAAGAGCTGCTCCAGCAGCGGCTCTGACCCTCCTCAGCCTCCCCACCCGCCCCGCCTGGGGGGCCAGGACCGCGCGGCCTTGCCTGGCATGGCGTCCACGGGCCACTCGTTCCCCGGGAGGCGGGGTGTGCTGACGCCCGAGAAGGGGGGACGCAGGCGTCTCCCCCGCAGGGGGGCAGCGGCAGGGGTCCTCGCGTGGGTGACGCGCTGTCCCCCGACATTGTCCCGCTGTGGCGGTGGCCCTGAGCTTTCTCTCGGCTGTCAGCCCGCCCTGCACGCTGGCAGGCTCGCCCGCGGCGGCAGCCTGGGGGGGCCTCGTTCCGATTCGCGGCAGGGACCGAGGGCTCGCCTGGCACGCGCCCGGCCCCCTGCCACCTCCCTTGCTGCCTCCTGCCCAACATCCCTTCCCAGCCCCGGCCTGGCAGCTCCAGGGAGAAGGAGCACGTGGGCTGAGCCCGGGGGTCCGAGCGCCCCCCTTGGCTGCTGTTGCCGTCACAACAAAACACTATCTTTTCCTCCTCAGTGAAAGGCGGGGGGAACCACACAGCAGACTCGTAAGAGCCCACTTGTGACACGGAGGTCGTCCAGCAAAGACCCCCGTAGGAGGTGCCACCCTCCCCGACATTCACCTACTGTCCCCAAAGGCACGGGTCTCCCACGTCGGGCCGGGCCCGCCCACCTCCACCCGGGTCTTCCCTCCCCCAGAGGCCTGTGGGGCAGGTGGGGCTGTGCCACCTCCTCCCAGGACCGCAAAGAGAAGACAGCGCCCCCCGAGCACCCACGGCGTGTGGGTCATTGGTCCATCCTCACGCACGAGGAGACCAGGGCCCGGCAGTTCGAGGACTTGCCCGCAGCGGCAGGGCTCCCTCAGGGACAGAGACCGGGCGCCTGCCCCGCAGCCCGGCCTGCGGTCGGCGTCGGGGGTCTGGGAGCTGAGTTGCGACCCCCGGGCCGGGGCCCTCCCCGTGTCTTCCAGGCTGGCTGCTGCTCCAGGCGCCGCGCCTGCTGTTCCAGGAGGGCGAGCCCATCACGCTGAGGTGCCACAGCTGGAAGAGCTGGCGCCTGTACAAGATCACGTTCTTCCAGGACGGCAAAGCCAAGCAGTTTTCCTCCACGAATTCCAACTTCTCCATCCCGCAAGCGAACGGCACTCACAGTGGCGCGTACCACTGCACAGGGTTCCTGGGGCACATGAAATACTCGTCCCAGGCTCTCAGCGTCGCTGTCCAAGGTGGGAGCGCGGCCCAGGTAGCAGGGGGCGAGGCGAGGGGGCGGCGGGGAGGACTGAGGTCGCAGGGGCCTCCGCGGAGGTCCGGGAGGTGCCCCAGCAGCACAGCTGGCCCCTGAGGCGCAGGGGCACTGGCCCAGGGGCAGGAGGACGGGCCAGAGCTCAGAGCCCGCCCCCTCCAGGGAAAGAGGCTCCACGCCTCGGACAGTGGCGGAGCGGGCCTCCCCCCTGAGTGCGCGGCGCCCCCGAGCCCCGGGACGTCCCTGAGAACCGAGGCCTTCACGTCTGCCTGTCACACTCGAGGGCCTGGGCCCGACAGCTCGCGGCTGTGCCGGAGGCAGGGGCGGTGTCTGCACCGTGGGGGCTTCAGGGCCCCTCCCCGCAACCCCTGAACTCTAAGAGGGACCCCTCCACCTGCAAGGCGCCTTAGATTAGTGGCCCGCCCGCAGCAGCGCAGGGAACGGGCGCTGGCGCGGGGACGGGGGCGGGCGAGGGCGTGGCGGCCCGTCCTGAGATCTGTCTTCCCCAGTGTCCAGCGGGAGCGACAGCGCCTTCCTGGTGACAGTGGTTGTGGCCGCGGTCGTGGGCGTCGCTGCCTTAGCCGCCGTGGCTGCCGTGGTGGCCTGGGTCCGCCTCAGGCGGCACAAGACCTCAGGTTGGTGGCTTTTCTTGGTTTCTCTTGTTGGGGGCCCCCTATGTGGCCGAGGCCCAGTGCTTTTGGCCCAGACTGCGCAGTGTTCAGGCGCAGCCCCGCGTGTCGCCTGTTTGTCCACTTATCAACTCGCGCGCTCCGCAAGGCCCGCGCCCACTCGCCCACGAGGCGAGGCCGCGCCCGGCGCTGCGGCTGATGCGCAGGCGCAGGCGTGCGTCGCAGGGAGACGGACGCACAGACGCCGCTCTGCCGACGCGGCAGGAGGAGAACCGCGGCCGCCTTCGGCGCAGGCCGCGGTGGGGACGAAAGGGGGCCGAGTGCGCGCGGGGGCGGGGGCGGGGGCGGGGGCGGGGGCGGGGGCGGGGGGCGGCTCCCCCTCCCCGGGGGGCAGGCCATCCACATCCAGACTCAGCGTCACGGCCTCTGCGCCTCGTCTCCCGGGCGAGAGGCCACCAGCCGAAGCGCCGTCCTGGGGAGGTGCGACGGGGACGAGGCCGCAGGCTTCGCCACAGCGGCCGCTGCGCAGGAGGTGATGCTGAGGGTGCAGTGAGCGGGGGCCACAGGGGCGAGGGCCGGCGCGGCTGGGACGGGCGTGGAGGCGCCCAGCGCTGTGCTTGCGGCCCGCCGGGCGCCCCCCACGCGTTTGTTCGCAAACGGATCGGCGGAAGAACTTCTTTAAGGTCATTAGTCCTCATTAGTGCCGGGAGCTGAGGGGGAAGGGAAAGCGCCTAGAAAGCTAACGAGCAGACCGGCAGGAGTCGTTGCACCGAAAAGCCAGGAGAGACCCCGCGGGAACCCCACGCCAGGCACCGCGCGGTCCTGGCCGGGACCTCAGTTACCCACCGAGTGAGGGCAGACACCGGGAGGGAGGGTGGCGCTTTTTATGGGGCAGAGCGAGCGCGGGAGTCCCCAGGGTGGGCCGAGCGACTGAGGCCTCCATGGATCGGCCCCTTTGCAGCCTGGGATGGTCCCTGGGCAGGAGGCGCGACAGCGAGGAGGGGAGGGGATGGCGTGCGGAGCGCCGAGGGGCCTGCGCTGGTCCTGGCCGCGGTCCGCCTGGGTCCGGAGGACTCGGCCCCGCCGCTCACCCACTGACCTCCTGTGTGCCCTCCCCACCCTCCCAGGAGCCCCTGAGAACAGGGAAGTGGGAAAGACCCCACCCGAGGAACCAGGTGAGTGCGGCCCCACCTGGGGCTGCAGGTGCACGGGAGCAGGACGCAGCTTGTGTGAGGTCAGCGTGCCCAGGACAGGGAGGGGGCGGGGGCGGGGCTCGAATCACTTGGTCCGCTCTGAGACTAACCCCGGCGCCTGAAGAGGACCTCAGGCAGCGGAGGACAAGACACCTGCGCCAGGTAGAGAGGTGGGACCCCGCCAGTGTCGCAGTTCCTGGGACTGGGGAAGCTGGGAAATTTCCAAGCAGGAACAGAGGGTCACGAGGTCTTTCTGGGGCTTGGACAAAGTTGCCACAGGACAGGGGGGCACATGCGAGACCGAGGCAGGTGGGAGAGGGGACAGGGTTCTCGGAGGGAACAGGAGGCTGAGGGAAGACCCCGGACTTGTCGGGGAGGGGTGGGCTACGGTCCCACAAAGTCCTGGGGCCCCAGCGGCATTCGAGGACTTTATGGGCCACGCCCGGCTCTAAGCTCATTGGCTGTGGGCTGGCCCCAGTCCTGTGTCCATCGGGCAGTGGGACGCGTAACGAGTCACCCACCTTGTGGGTTCTGTCCCCTGCGGAAGCCACGAGTCTCTTCAGGTCTGCCAGCTGGTGGCTGCCCCCTCCCCGGCCCCGTGCAGGGTGGGGGCTGTGAGGGGGGGGTTCCGGGTGGCTTCCCGCCCATCCTCGGAGCCCGAGCACCAAGGAACTCAGCGGAGTCAGGCAGGAAGCGAGGCCCTCGCGGGCCGGCCTCAGGGCCCGGTGTGTGACTCAGGGCAGAGCAACCGATTGGAGGGCCTGAGCCGGGGGTGCTGTCCAGCCGCGCTTCGGGCAGGGCAGGGCGGGCCGGGCCGGGAGGGGCGCGGGCCGGGAGGGGCCGCCGCGGCGTGCGCTGCGCACCCTGGCACGAGCGCGTCTCTCGGGGCGCTGGCTCCGCAGCCAGGACGGGGCCGGGGATGTTGTGGGGCCCTGGGAAGGAGCGTTCAGGACGGGGCCTGTTCCAGGATTCAGAGCCGGGCGGGCGGGGACGTGGAGCCCAGGCACAGGGCGGACACTGCCCGCGTGGCCCCGGTCACCTCCCCGCCCTGCGGCCGGGGCAGCTTCCGCGGGCGAAGGGGCCGCGCACGCAGAAGCAGGAGGGAGCTGGCTGTGCTTCCCTGCAGGGGGCCGTGTGCTTGCTCAACTCCCTGCCCCCCTCCTCGCTCTCGCTCGCTCCTTTCACGCCACGGAGTCACCAGACTCCAAGTCCCAACAAGGGCGCACCTCCTCAGCCCAGCATGGCCCCGAGTCTTCTCTCCTTCAAGTCTGTGGCTGCAAAAGTCCAGACTTGACCTCCCTGGGGCGCTGAGCCCCCTGCTTGTGCCCAGGACCTCAGACCCCGGAAGCCGCCGGCTTCGCCTCTGGAAAAAGGCAGCGACTCTGAAAAGCAGCAGCCCCGTGGCCACCTACCGGCCGAGGGTGCACGGGGGCGAAGCCGTGTGGGCTCGGGCGTGCTCCGGCCTGGCGTGCTCCGGCCTGGCGTGCTTTGGCCTTGGGCAGCAGCGCAGCACCCAGCAGCCCCCGCCCGCAGCGCCGCCCTGGCTGACCTGTTCCTTTTGCCCGCAGCCAACCTTGCCAACACTGAAGAGGCTGCCAATGCGGAGGTGAGCGCCCGGCCCCTGCCTGCCCCTCCGCCCCACCCCTGCCTCCCGTGGCTTCTCCCTGGGTCCCACAGCTCCTCTGCTTTCTCTAGGCGGAGAATACAATCACCTACTCGCTGCTCATGCACCCAGAGGAAGACACGACACTCGCGGATTATCAGAACGCGTAGCCGTGGGGACAAGAGCCAGGGCCGGGACCGGCCTTGAGGCCGACGAGAGACCCCTGCTGTGTCCCAAAGGAGCGGCCCTCGTCGAGGTTCCCTGCGTGAGCGCCCAGGCTCTGTCCCGGAGGCCGCGGACGGCGTGGTGCCAGCGACAGGCTGCGCAGACCCCGGCCGAGGCGCCGGGGTGTTCTCTGCGTCCATGCAGCCAGCAAAACCGACTTCTATTACGGGAGTGTAGCGGCACGGGAAGTGCTGTGTAACAGGTTGCACGGGAAAAGTTACACGAATAGATGGTCTCCGGGCTGACGAACAGAGTGACAGCGGCCAGCGTGCTCAAGAGGCTGTTTCGGGGTGATGGGATTTGGGGCTTTTCCTTTCTTTTTTTCTCTCGACGCACCATGTATTACTTTGATAATAAAGCACAGTGAAACAACAGTCCCGTTCCCTTTCAAAGGCTGTGCGCATTCGAAGGGGGCGTGCGCGGCTCTGGGCCAGTTTCTCCTCGCTGATTATCTTGGGGAGGCGGCCGCAGGTAGGAGGTGGGGGGGCGCCCTGTTCCTCCCAGGAACTGGTCCTCTTGTTTCTACGTCTCCTTCCTCTTTCTCCCCGGCCAATCCATCACTTTGTCTTGTGACACCAGTCACAGGAAGCCACACTTCAGCCGATCCCCAGTGGGGACTGCTGACTCTTCCTGTCCGGGTGTCCCCACTCCCAGCTGCCCAGAGGACATGACCTCGGAGACGCCCTCCCAGCAGGCCGGGGACGTGACCGGCAGCTTCCGTGGGGGTTCGTGGGTGCCCGGGAGAGGCCGCGCCGTGCGGGGCCCCGGCGCGCTTCCCTCCGCGGCGCCTTCGCCTTCAGGGCGCAGCAGCCTCCCTCGCCCCACCGTGGGGGGTCACGCTCAGCCGCTGTAATTGCCGCGGCCGCGGCCGAGGGGCTGCTGGGGCTCCATCGCACCTTTCCGGGCTTTGGAATCAGGGAGTTGAGTATCAACCGTTCCCAGGTCTTGTGATTTTTCCGTTAACGTACTCCTCCCTGTTTTTATAGGAATGGTGCATGTCTGTAAATGACAGGGCGGTGACCCATTTTATTTATATGTACGTTTTTTACTATACTAACTTAAACACTAAAATTAGAAGCCAGCGAAGCAAAAAAAAGATCATTAAGGTCACCTGCAAACCCACAAGCCAGACAGAATCAACGTGGCATTTAAAGAGTGTGTGTGTGTGGCTATTTCACCTTGTATTTTTACACGCGCCTACGTGCACGCAGGCAAAAATTCATGCTCCGCGTGAGCATGTCACCTCACACGGTACAGGGACATAAAGAGTAGAAAGGGACGTTTCCTGTGTCCTCACCCGCGCCCCCGGCCCTGTAGCTCTTTCTATGGGGGACCAGGGTGGGGCACTGGGTGTGTATTTCTGGGTTTGGGGTATGCCTCTCTACATTCTAGTAGTTTTTAAGCACCGCACACAGGCTCACACCCCGCGCAGGCCTCTGCGGTCAGCTGGTTTTGATGAGCCACAGCAGATGTCGCTTTGTGAGGCTCTGTAACACTCCTCGGTGTGAGGGGCTGTCTGTCCCGACGCCCGGGTCCACGCTGGGCCCTCTCCGTTTTTGCCAGTCCGAGTACAGTGGACGATGTAGCTGCTCCCTGCCCAGCGCCCCCCTCCCCAGGCTGGTTTTGCAAAACAGCCCCGCCCCGCCTCAGCCTGCGTGGGTGGGTGGGCTGACTCCCCCCTGGTTCCAGAGGACACTGGCCGGAGCGGGCGTGGGCGCCGTCTCCCTGGAGCCTACGAGCCCAGAGGCGCTGCCCGGGTGGGCCCAGCGTCCCCCTCCCTGAACCCACCCGGTTTCCTGCAGCCTCCAAGGTCGGCCGACCTCCCCCGCAGCGGTCGGCTTAGGTTTGGTCGGTGGTCCTGTGATAACACAGGCTTGACACCTTCCTTAAACGAGGCCTTCGACAGACTCCTTTTTCCTGTCGCTATGGGCCCGCTCAGGCTTCTCCCTCTCTTTTGGAGTCAGTTCTGAACCCCTCGCCTCGCCGAGGAAATCGCCCCTCGGTGGGCGTGCTGCCGAGGGCTGTCCCCGCTTCCACTTTGGGCAACCGCTCCGGGTCTGCGCTCACTCTCCCCTCTCACACCGATCCGAGCGCCGCGGGGATCTTATCAGCTGCAGTGGCCTCGGCTGGAAATAACAGGAAGCCTTGCCTCAAATGGGCCTGAACGATAAGGAAATGTACTATCTGGCAAGGGCCTGAGGTCCTCTGGATGTGGCCCTTGGGTGGTGGCAAGACGGTGACAGAGGGGCTATGCGTCGTGGCCCGAGGGCCAGGGAATATGGGAATAGAGGCCTCTTCTGCGTGAGAAATCCTCTCTCCTGCGACCTTCCCCTCACGGCGGAGCGCGCTGGGCCACACGCCTGTCCCTAAGTCAGTTGTACTCCTTCCTAGCGGAACAGCTGGAGCGCCGGGCACCGTGGCCGCTGCCTCCTGCTTCCCTTAGACCTGCCGAAGGTTGCTCTGTTTTACTGGTCTTCTGACTCGATGATCAAGCCTTTGCCTTCCCTTTGTTTCCTAACATATATTCTTTCTCCTACTTTACGTGGATTTACTGTACTGCTCATTCATTGCTAAACTGTTTTTAAACGAATTCCCTAAAGGCTATAGCTTTTCCTCTTAATGCTGTTTTGGCAACATCCATTGGATTTTTTGATACGGACTCTTGTCATTGTTTGCTTCTAAATAGTCCATAACTTTAGTTTTATTTTCTTCTGAACTCCAGGTTTATTTAGAAGGTGATTTACTTTGTCTATTTCTGATTTTTATTTTTTGTTATTTCCCACTGTTGTTGCACACTGGTGTGGCTGTATGATCTGTCTGCATGATGATGTCTCCAAATGTATATGTGAAGACAATGCTTTCTTTCGTTTTTAAATAAAATTTTACGTTCTATTGAAGTAACACACACCGTTTGAATTGTGTAACAGGACCCAAGACGGTAACAAGAAGTAGCTGCTCATTGCCCACCCCTCGCACGCCCTGAGTCCTGTTCTCAGAGACAGCTTCTTCAGCAATGTTGACGATGCCTTCTGTTAATTTACCTCCGCGTTTGGACCTCTCGATACGAGACGCCGTCCTCCTGCTTCCTGCCGTGGAGTCCAGGGACAGGTGGCGTTTCCGCATGTTCCCCTTCCCCTTCCTCGCCCGGTGCTCCCGCGGAGTTTTATCTCTGTCTTCTGACCACGGCTCACCATGGAGACGGTGTTCGCTGAGGGCGCTTCCTTTCCCCAACGAGCTATTTTCCTTCTAGAGATAAAAACCGGCTTCATTTTTGTCCCTTGTTTAGTTTTCTATGTGCCTATTTTTAGCTTTTACTAGAGTTTTCCAAAACATTCTGAAGCAGCTTTATACTGTTTTCCACGTAGTCTAATGACCAAGTAGTTTTCCATTTTTCTCCCTCTTTCCTTCTCTCTCTCTCTCTCTCTCTCTTTCTCTCTCTCGTCCGCAAGAAGCCCCTCCTCGGGTCTGTGCCCTCTGACGCCGCCTTGGGCGGTCCGCGCTCTCGGCTCCCGCAGGCGGCTGCCGGGGCCTCCCTTCGCCTGCCTTTCGTATGCGCCCCCTCCCCCCGAATCGCACGCCTTCCCGCCTCTTGGTTCGCTCCCCGGCTTGGCTGGCGCGCCCGTGCCAGGCGTCCTGAGAGGGGGCACGCGGTGACAGGGTGCAGGTGCCCTTGGTGCCCAGCTCGTATTCATGCGCCTCGCCTCGGCTCACCTGCGCCTGCTGCCTGGTTCAGTTTCCCCTGAGAATCAAACCTGGAAGGGGGCAGGGCGGGCGGAGCAGTCACCTGGAAACACCTGTGCAACGCCTCCGCCTCCGCCTGCGGGGGGGCAGAAAGGCCCCGAGGGCTGTCTCTCCAGCGGCGCCCTTATTTTCAAAGCCATTCCCGACCCACCTGGGCGCTGCACCTGATTCCTCTCGCCCCTGCACCTCCCGTGGGATCCTCCGGGGGAGCATCTTGCTTCTCCTCAGCAGCCCCTCTTTAGGGGAATAAACTCAGTTCCCTATAACTTAACTTTCTATAGCAACATGACCCATGTTTCTGTGCAGACTCTAAAGGCAACGTTGTTGTTCAGTGACTGGATACCAAAGGCACCTTCATCTCTTGTGCTGTTTGTCCTACTCCGACCTGCCCAACGTCTTATTGCCCTTTTCACAAAACTATCTTTGGTTTTCTGATCAAGCCTCCTCTTTTATTTGCGTTCTGGTTTGTATAGTGTACTCTCTTCTATATTTGTAATAATTGTTAATCTTAACTAATACCCTTTTTTTATTTATGATATTTTTGTATTTTTTAAGGATTTTATTTACTTATTTTTTAGAGAGAGGGGATGGGAGGGAAAAAAGAGAGGGAGGGAAACATCGATATGTAAGAGATACATTGATGGGTTGCCCCTCACGTGCCCCCCACTGGGCACCTGGCCCGCTACCCCGGCCTGTGTCCTGCCCGGAAGTCGGACCGGCGATCTTTCCGTTTGTGGGCCAGCGCTTGGTCCACTGAGCCGCACCAGCCGGGGTCTTTTGTGTTTTTTAACACAAACACGTACAGGTTTGAAGTCACCTGGGAAGTCTTCCTCAGTGGTCTCCTTGTTTTCTGGGCTCCTGTGTCCGCTGGAGTGAACTATTCCTTATTTTCTGGGAAAAGCACAATTCCATCAGAGTCCTTACGTTATGCAGGAACTTGCATCAACAAGACAACTTCTCATGCAGCACCTTGTAACGCACATTTCTACGCCGCCCATGGATGCTTTTCACACCTCCAGGGAAACCGCTGGCTTCCGGGGCCACATCTCGCCCTGGAGGCCGGAGACAGCCCCCCTGTATTTTTCTGGAAGATGCATAGCTCTGCACTTCAGGCTGAAGCCCACAGCCCGTTTGAATGTGTTTCTATGGGCTGTGCGGCGTGGGTTGGCCTGGGGCTGCTGGGTCACCGCAGGGCTCGCTGCCCACCCCCACTCCGCCTCCTGGGGCTCCGTGGGGCCACCTGCACAGGCCTCTCGATAATGGAAACTTTAGGGTAAATGCTTATTTTAGGGTGAGAATATCCGCTCTCTGGCCATGTTGCTCACACGTCTGCTCTGACCTGCGGTTTTACAGCTGAAGGGTCAGGCCGGCCCCCCTGCCTTCACACAGGACCACCCTCCCCACTTCCGAGGGCTCAGGTCTCATACCCTGCAGCCCCTGAGGGCCGGGTAGGGGCAACAGGGCTGGGAGCTTCGGGCATCCCCGTGGGCGGGGCCCCAAGCACAGGGCAGTCAGGGGCAGCCGGTGGTCCCACGAGGCCTCTGGAGCTGGAGCGCCCGCTGGAGCCTCCACGTCGCCCCCATTCCTGGGTCCCCTTGGGTTTCTCACGCTACCGGTGCCTCCTGCCCCCAGCGTCCTCGGGGTCAGGGTGGGGGGCTGAGCCTGAGCCCGGGCCCCTCTTCGCCTTCCCAGGGGGCCCTCTCTGTGTCACGCTCAGATGCTGCGGCCGCCGCCTCGCGCGCCGCAGACGGAGCTGAGACGCAGGTTGGGGAGCCTGTGGACAGATCTGTGGGGGCTGTGGACCGGGGGGGACCGCTGGTGTCTGACTGGGTGCCAATCCATCCTCTTGCCTCCGTGCACTGCTGCGGTTCGGTCACGGCCACTGGAAACGCGGAAGGCGTGGCGCCGGGCACAGAGGGGAGGGAACGGTCGTCCGGCCCCGCACTGGTCTCTGTGCGGCCTCTGGGCAACGTCCCGCCCCTTTCCTCTGCGGTCTCACCGGCGAAGGGCAGCGCTGTCTCCCCCGCTCCCCGGCATGTGCGGTGGACGGGGCTCGGTAGCGGCGGGCCTGGGAGCTCTGTGGGCCCCGGGGGGGCTCTGGAACCGCGGGGAGCACAGCCCTTGGGACGCGGGGGGCTTGGAACCGCCACAGCCCCCCATCTGAAGGCTGGGAGCCAATCAGGGTTGAAAATGGGCTGCAGATGCGAGGCGAGGAGACAGTTAGAGTCACTTCCTCTTTTCTAATTTGAGAGGTTTCATGTTGATGAAAATCGGGGTGTCAGCTGCGGGGTAGACCCCCGCTCAGCGGCCATGGCACTGGGCAGCCATCGCACGGCCGGAGCCCGCTCGCCGCCTCCCGCACTCTGGGCGCTGCTGGGTGAGTAGCGGAGCGGCCGGCGCCGCTGGGCGCGCGGCGCTGGTCGGGGGAGGGCCCCCCGGGGGGACGGGGACGCCGTGGGCCTCCACCGACGCAGGGTGCGGGGGCCTGCACAGGGCACACACAAAGGAGTTCTGCGTTTCTGTAAATTCTTTTATCGAGTCTAGAGAGAGGGGAAGGGAGGGAGAAAGAGGGAGAGAACCATCGCTGTGGCCGAGACGCGGATCGGCTGCCTCGCGCACACAGCCCGGTGGGGCGCCCGAGGCCCAGCCGGGCTCGGCCCGAGCAGCACTTGAGCTGGGCCCCTTCGCTCTGCGGGATGACGCCCGAGCCACCGGGCCGCAGCGGCCAGGGCGCAGCAAGGAAGTCGGCCTGCGGGGCTGGAGGCTCTTTCTGAACATCGACGCCCCTCCGCCGGGCCGTCCCCGGCCCCTCGACGGGGCCGCCCTCTGTGGTGAAATCGCAGGCGTCTTCCCTTTTTGCAGACCAGTGTCGCCTGCCCTTGCTCTCCCCGCGTCCTCCTTGTCACTCCGGGCTCCCAGTCTGGCTGCGCCGGGTCCCTTTTGCCCAGGTGGCGACGTCCGTGTTGATGGTTCCTGCGCCGCTGGGCTTGGCTGCTGCTCACCTCGTCCCCCCTGCCCCCCCCCGTCCCCCGGTCTTGGCTCCGGGCCCCACGCACCTCGCCCCCCATCTGCCGCTCCACCCCTTTGGGCGGCTCCTCCGCGCCTCCCTGGAAGCCTGTCTTTCCCACGTGGCTTCCTTGCCTCCCTACGGCTCTCTCTCCCCTCGGTCTCCCCAGGGAGCGGATTTGTCGGCATCATTTTTACGGCCCCACCTGGGCCGCTGCGTCCTGACCCCCCGCTGCGCCCCACTCCCGCGTTCGAGCTTTGCGTGCAGATACCCAGCTTTGCACAAGACACGCCCACCTGCACATCCCCCAGGGGGCAGCGCCGGCTGGCTCTCCCTGTTCCATCCCGCACGTAGCCACCCGGCCCCCCAGGGCCTTGGGGACAAGCTGACTTCCCCCTGCTTGTGCCCTGGAGTCGGGCAGGTATCAGGTTGGGCGGCGTTTGCCTCCCGCACGGTCCCAGGCCGGCCCAGCGGCTTCCCAGCCGACCGCCCCATCTCAGTCCTGTGTCCTTGACACACGCTCTCGGGCCAGCGCCTGCCACGCTCCTCCTAATGACGCCAGGGTCCCCAGCCAGCCCGGCCGGGGGACCCCCGAAGCCTCGGCCGTCCCTCAGCCGGCAGCTGGTGCTCCAGGACACCCTGGCCGCCTGGCTCAGTGCCCTGATGCCAGACTCTCACCTGCCTCCCAGCTCTGCTCCCGCAGCCCCGTCCCCCTCTCGCCCCCAAACGTGCGGCGTCCCCGAGCCCTCAGCCTTGGTGGCACCTTCACCAGGACGCTGCCCGTGAACCCGCCTCTGCTCGCGTGGCCGCCTGACCCTCTTTCCCGCCCCCTCCTGCACAGTGTGCTCTCGGGCCGGCGCTCCACCCCGCTCCGGTTATCTGCAGGCGGGACAGGGGCTTTGGTGTCGTCTTTTAACCGCGTCTTACGCGGGTTCGAATTCTCTGCACCTGCGCTGTCCCCACACGGTAATGGTGCCGCATCCTTTCACTGAACGCAGAGACAGGACCAGGTGACTCGTGTGCGGCCAGACCCCAGACCGTCTGGCTTCCACCCTGTCTTCTAAGGACGGTGCCACTTTGGAAAAGCCACTCTTCATATCTCTGGGTGTGGTTTTCTTATTCACAAAGCGGCCGGCAGATGTGATGTTGAAAAAGGAGAAGGGGCTGAGTCCCTCAGAGCGGCAGCAGAGGAACCGAGAAGGGGCGGCGCGGGGGCCGGAGCTGCGAGGGGCGGCGGCACCTGGGCCTGATGTGGCGAGAACCAGGAACTAGAGAGAGGCCCCGTGAGGGGAAGTGACAAGGTCAAAGGAGCCCGTGCAGCCCGTGGGAGGGGAGAGGACGAGGGGAAGGGCGCCGGGAAGGGCGCAGTGAGGATGGGCACATGGCACGGGGGGCGGGGGCCCGAAGCGTCCTGCAGGCGCGAGACGCGGGGTCGCCGTGCCGGTCAGCCGCGGAGCCCAGAGGCAGGCGAGGAGATCCGGCGAGGAATCCGTAGCCCTGACTCTCAAACTGGGAGCCAAGGGGGCATCGCCCCCCAGCTACCGGGCCGGGAGTAGAGGGTTCGGGCAGAGAAGGGCTTGGGAAGGGACAGTGCAAGGGACAAGGACATCAGGGCCGAGGTGGCTGGAAAAGGAAGACCTGAAGGTGGGAGCGGGGGAGGAGGCGGCGCGGCCAGGAGCGGAGGGCTGTCGCGGGCACCGCGGCCGGAGGCCAAGAGCCAAGCGAACGCTGGGGCGGCGGGATCACGGGAGGGCGTCCCCGAGGAAGGCCTGGGGGCTGGAGTCGGCCAGGTCTGAGCGGCGTGGCAGAAAGAGCGCTGGTTCGGGTCTCAGACGTGCCTGACCTTCTCACTCCCTTCCCCACCCCTTTGAAACTCTGGGGAACTCAACCGCGTTCCCCAAGCCCGTCCCTTAAAGATTTGTAAACGGGGGGTGAACCCCACGCTGGGAAATCTTGGGACGATGAAGGGAGCAGGCGTGCGGAGGAGCCCGGCCTGTCAGGGTTAGAGCCGACCCCCGCCCCGCCCCGCGCCCGCCAGCTCTGGGGCCACCTGGCTGCCTGTGTCCGCGGCAGCCAGGAGTGATGTCGGCCAGCCGCCCCCCCCCCCCCCCCCCCCCCGCCGCCAGCCCCGCCCCGCCTCTTCCCGGGACCACCACGCCCTCCCTGAGCTCCCGGCACCCGGGGGTCACGTCAAAGGCCCTCTGAGGGGTCCACGGGGGCTGTTGACGAAATGGCGTCAGGGTCTCCCTGTTCTCACTCTAAACGGGGGGACCCCCAGAGGCAGGAGGAACCCCTTTTCTGTCCTCTTTCCCCAAGTCGCAGCGTCATTTTCTCGGCCGGCGCCTTCCTCGGCGGCCGGCTTCGAGGCCCCACAGTGCGAAGGGCCGGCCAGCACCCGGGACAGCGGCTGCCACGCCCACTGGACGGGCTCCAAGGAGGTGGACTTCCAGGCCCTGAGCTATGTCTTCAGCCGGCCGTTCCACCTGATTGTGTCCTACGGTGAGGTCCCGGGAGGGCTGACGGGTGCAGGCCCGCTCGGCGGCCTCCCCGCCCGCCCCCCCTGCCCGACCCCTTGCCCGCCGCCCCCTCGGGAAGGGGCCCCTGGGAAACTGGCATTGGCCGCGCCCCTCCTTCCGCATCCTCAGGCCAGGGTGCCACCAGGCCTAGACCCGGGAGCCGTAGCGGGGGCGGGGATCCCTGGGCCCTCAGAGGACGTCCCGGGGTCTGGCAGGCGCAGCTGGCGGAGGGAGACACTCAGCTCCTGCTTTGGGTCCCAGATTGGCTGATCCTGCAAGGCCCAGCCACCCCGATATTCGAGGGGGACCCGCTGGCTCTGCGCTGCCAGGCCTGGCAAGACTGGCCACTGACGCAGGTGACCTTCTACCGCGACGGCTCGGCTCTGGGCCCGCCGGGGCCGCGCCGGGAGCTCTCCATCGCCGCGGCGCGCGGGACAGACAGCGGGCACTACCACTGCAGCGCCATCCTCCGCGGCCCCGGGCCCGGGCGCCCGGAGACGGCCACCGCCATGGCGATCACAGTGCGGGGTGAGCGCGCGGGCGTGTGACTGGGTGGGGGGCAGACCGAGGGACCGGGCGCGCCTGTCACAGGAGGGGCAGGGCCGCCCCAGCTTTCCACTCGCCCCGGGTTGGAGCGTTCCGGCCCCTCTGTCCCACGCAGCCACGGTCCGCCAACGGGGCGCCTGGACTAGCGTCAGACTCGCCCGTCGCTGGGTCTGTGCGGTCCTGTGCGCGGGCAGAGGGAGGGCGCACAAGGTTCCCACGGAACCTTCCGGAGGCGGCTCGTTTGGAGGGAGAGCGTGACCGTCGGAGGCCTGAGCCCGGCCCCCTCCCCCACCCGTGTCCCCCCAGAACTGTTTCCAGCCCCAGCGCTCCGAGCCACGCCCTCGGCCCAGCCCCGGGAGGGAGGCCCGCTGACCCTGAGCTGCCAGACCAAGCTGGCCCCGCAGAGGTCGGCCGCCCGCCTCCTCTTCTCCTTCTACAAGGACGGCCGGGCCGTGCGTGGCCGGGGCCCGTCCCCGGAGCTGCAGCTGCCGGCGGCGTCCGAGGCCCAGGCCGGGGCCTACTGGTGCGAGGCCGCCACCGAGGACGGCCAGGTGTGGAAGCAGAGCCCCAGGCTGGAGGTCAGGGTGCAGGGTGAGTAGGCGTGTCTGTCCCTGTGTGCGAGGGGGGCCTGGACGGCCAGCCCCGGGCCGGGCGGGCGGGAGCAGGTTCGCAGAGGATGCAGAGGAGGCAGGGACCAGGAGCCCGGGTTCGAGGGGCTTCTCCCTCGGACACCGTGACGCTGCACCGGCCGGGGACCGAGCGGTCCCCAACCGGTGCCCTGGGCCTGATGCTCCCTCATGGGAAAGCCATGTCTACGTGGGGACGAGGTGTCTGCACCCCGACTCCCCCGGGAGCCCCACCGAGGAGGCCGCTCCTGACCCGAAATGCCCCCGGCGGGGGTGGGGGTGGACCGGGAGCCGTGTCGTGAGAAAAACAACGGAAAGGACGGGCGGGGCTCATCCTGAAGGGGAGGTGACCCGGGGCCTCCAGAGCATCCCCAAGTGCACAGCACGAGGAGTCGCATGAACGTCACGCCCGGCGGGGAGGCGGGGACGCCAGCCTGGGCCGGGGCCGGGGCCCCCACGCGGGGAGGACGCTCCTGTGCGGCCGAGGGGCCGAGCCTCAGGGTCGGGTTTGGGCCAGGGGTCCTGAGGGCTCGGCGGCCTGGGCCCCACAGCTGCGGTCGAGGGCGGGATGGGGAGCCACTGGGGCCGGGGCGAGGCTTCTGCGCTCACAGGTGTGTGTGTCTCTGCCCTGCCGCCCAGGTCCTGCGAGCTCTGTGGTGCCGCCCGCCTTGAACCTGCCTCCTCCAAAATCCTCAGCCCCAGGGACACCCGCTGTGAAGCCCCCCGGGCCCCCGCCTCCGCCGCCCAGCGCCTCCTCCGAGGGCCCCGGCCTCCCCTCTCCCCTGCAGGCGCCAGACCCCCACCTGCACCACCAGGTGGGCCTCCTCCTCAAGCAAATGCAGGATGTGAGAGCTCTCCTCGGCCACCTGGTCTTGGAGCTGAGGGACTTGTCCAGCCACCTGAAGTCGGGGGCCAGGAAGGGTCCTGCCAAACGCGCATGAGCCATTCCCTGCTGTGTTGCTCAGCCCCCAATAAACCGAGCTCTTGGCTCCCCCATTCTGTCTTGTCCTCGTGCACGGAGACGCCCCTCGGTTGTCCCGAGCCCTGCGAGAGCGCGGGGGCTGGACGCGCGCAGACAGGCTTGTGCCACGCGGCGTGCTCTCTCCCGGCGCGACCGCGCGGTCCTCCCCAGACCGGGGAGGGCCCTCGTCCCCAGAGTCTGGCGCCTGAAGAGGGGTTTAGCAAGACGTTGGGTGCGGCAGTCTCGACTGGCGACCCCCGCCCGCGCCGGGGACGCTTGGGTGCGTCCGCAGACCCCTGGGGTGTCAGTTCAGGGCGGGGGGTGCCACTCTCGTCTGGCGAGTAGAACACAGGGGCTGCTGACATCCGGTGAGACACGGAGCAGCCCCCACGGCGAAGGGTTCGCTGGCCCCAAACGTCCAGAGTGCCTAGCGGCAGCCTGGTGCCCAAGCAGGGTGAGGGGGGAGCTCTGCCTCTTCGACTCCCTCCCTCCATTCCAGCCTCGCCCAGCAAATCTCAGTTCATGCCACGCTGGCGTTTCGTGGCCTCTACTCCTGCCCGAGGCTGCGACCTGTCAGGTATATGCACAGGTCAGTGTCTCTGCCTAGAAAACAGTTGAGCACCCCTCCCCACAAGACGCAGCGGCAGCCGGAGCTCCCCGCGGGCTCCTCTGGACGCGGAGGCCCAAGGGCGCGGCAACAGTGCGGAGCTGCGGGGACTTAACGACTTTGTCTCCGAACTGTTTTTCTCTAAAAACACACATGAGTCTATCCGGGACCGAAGTAACGCTTTCCCCGTGCTCGGCCGACTCTGTCCGCTCTCAGGCGGTGGGAGGCAGCCGGCCAGGCCCCACGTGGCCTCTGCTCCGGGCCTCTGCACGCGGCCCCGGGCGGCCCCCGCGCACGAGCCCCGAACCCTGCTGTCATGTTTCCCACTTCCCCTTTCTTTGTGCTCATCGCTCTGGGCAGAGTTTTGACCCACAGAAATTTACAGAAGACGCGTCGGTGACGCTTCCACACAAGCCACCAAGAAACACGGGCATGGGCCCCGGCCAGGGGGCTCCGCAGGGAGGAGCGTCGTCCCGCACGCCAAGGCTGCGGGTTCCATCCCGTCAGGCAGGACACATGCAGGACCCATGCAGGACCAACCCGTGAGCGCGTCGCTACGTGGAACGATGGTCCACATTTCTCCCTCTTCCTCTCTCCCTTCCTCTCTCTCTCTCTCCAATCAGTTTTAAACAAAACAAGGGAATGGGCTCACTCTGGATGTCCAAGAGCCCTGTCAGGGGCTTGGAGGTTTTTTTTTTGGGGGGGGGGGCCTGTGTGCTTTGTGACGTTGGGGCACAGCCAGATCTCCCGGGGGATCTGGGGGAGGGGCTGAGCTCCGTGCTGAGCGGTGAGAAGCCAGGGAGAGGCAGCTGGTGCGGGCGAGGGCCGCGCAGTGTGGCTGTCACATTCTCGTCACAGAGGAGGCGCCTGGCCAGGGCCGGGCTAGGCCGGTGGGGAGAGCTGCGGGGAGCCCACGCTGGCCCGGGGGCGGGGGCCAGGCAGGATCGGGGTGCAGCCCCGGCCGGCAGGTCGCGGTCTCCGCTCCCCGCTGCCGCCCCGCCCCCGGCCCCCGGTCCCACCACGCCCTGCTCTGCAGATCCCGTGGCACCGTCTCTCATCAAAAGCCGCCCTCCAACAGGGTCAGAAGTGGCTCCCAGGATCGAAACGACCAATCACATTTTCTTAAGAGGCCTTTGCGTTTGGAACGAGGAATGGCCCCCTTGAGAGACACTCGGAGGGGGTTCTCAGAGTGGAGCCTTGGACGTCCCCAAGCAAGAGGGGAGGGGACGGTTTTCAACAGAGTGGGCGTGGTCTGGTAGCCCCCCTCCTGCCAGGGTTCCCAGGGACGGAGGTGCCCCGTTCTGATGGCCGCAGGTGGGGACAGGACACTGTCCAAGGAGACATACTATCAGGCTGGAAAATTCATTAAGTATTTACCCGAGAACGCAGGCTCCCCATTGCTCAGGCCAGGACCACGTGGCTTGGGGAGAAGTGGGAGCCGGAGCCGAAGCGTCTCTCAGGGGCTGGTGTGGGGACTTCTGCGCCGTGGGTAAGGGGCGCCGGCCGGCGTGGCCGGGGTGGCGGTGCAGGGGCGGGCGTGTGGAGGGGCCACCGGGCGAGGTGGCTGCGGTGGGGGGGAAAGAAGAGGCTTCGGCAAGGGAGAGACAAGGGGAAGCTCACTGGGTCACGTCTTCCCGTCGGCCGCTCCAAGGGAGGTGTGAGCCCTGGGCGCAGGGGACCCGGCGGCCCCCTCGCGAGGCCGCACACCGGTGCCTGTCCTCAGGGGGTGAGCCCTGGGCCAGCCCGCGGGCCGGGGCGCTGTGTCTTCCTCAGCGGAGGCTCTCGGGGCCCGCGGGGGGGTGGGGGCAGGGCCATGGGCAGGGCCTGGGGCTGGCCTGAGACGTGAGCCCCGGGGCGGGGGCGGCGGAGCGCCTGGGGGTTGGCGCCTAGCAGACTGTCTCCTGCTCCCCACAGCCCACCGGCAGCAGGGAGGCTGCGGGTGCTCAGGGGTCAGCGCCTGCCCCTTCTCTGCCCCCCCGTCCCCAGGCAGCCTCTCTATTGCTGCGCAGCGGCTGCAGGCAGCTCTGCCATGTGGGCGCTGGCGGCCCTCCTGCTTCTGGGTGAGTCCGCAAGGAGGCAGCGGGCGTGGGGCGTGGGCAGCGCCCGTGTGTGCCCGCCGGTGGGGGGGGGGGTTCGCGGCCCTCGACTCCAGACAGCTCATTTTCCTGGAGGGAGAAGGAGGAGGGGCTTTCCAGAGCTGGGGAAACTGAGGCAGAAGGAAAGCAGGACTGGGCTCCTGGTGAGTCCCCGCTGTGGTCAGGCCAGCCCTTTGCCGTGCGCCTCCCGCATCCTCCTCCTCCTCCTCTAATTCTCTTTCGCAGCTCCGGGCAGTGGACAAGCTGGTGAGCCCCACACCCCCTTCGCCCCAGTTCCGACACCTTTCCCGTCAACCCCAGAGTGACCTGCTTGGGCCCCACCCCTCGGCGGCGCGGGGAGCGTGGCTTTCCCCACAGGGCCACCGCGCCCGTGACTCAGCTCGCCCGCAGGCGCGCACGCCCGGGGCGACAGGGGGCGGCCCCACGTGGCCTCGCTCCTGGGGGGAGGGGTCAGCGACGCGGGCCAGCTCCCGCACGCCGGGGCGTCCCGAGGTCTCCCGAGCTCACCGCACGCCTCTGGGAGCCTCACCGCGCCGTCTTCCCCGCGTGGCCCCTCCCCCACGCTCCCAGCGGCCCTGGAGAAGCCCACGCTGTCCCTGCAGCCGCCCTGGACCACCATCTTCAAGGGAGAGCGGGTGACCCTGCGCTGTGACGGGCACCACCCTCTGGTGATGGAGATCCGGCCGGTCAGCACCCTCTGGTACCTGGGCCACCTGCTGCTGCCCTCGCATGGGAGGAGCATCGAGGTGCAGACCCCCGGGGCCTACCGGTGCCAGACCCGCGGGGCGCCCGTCAGCGACCCCGTCCACCTCTCTGTGTCCAATGGTGAGCGTCTGCGCGGGGTGGGCGCGGGGAGCCGCACATGGCTCCTCTGGTGGCCCTGGCTGTCCTGGGAGAGGGGACGCTGGCCCATGCCCACGGGGGCGGGAAAGGGGGGCCTTCCTTGAGTCTCCGCGATGGCAGGGCGGCGTGTGACACCGCGTGAGAGACGCAGGGAAGCTTGCCCGTCCCCGCGGTCCTCTCGCCCTCCTGCCACAGTGGGGGGCCCACAAACGCCGCTGTTAGTTTGTGAGACTAACTCCGAAGAGCAGAGGCGCTAAGGAGCCGGGACACTGGTCAGGGAGCCGGGGGAGGGGCCGGGGGGGGCGGGCAGAGCAAGGCGGCCTGGGCCCCGGCAGGCCCTGCTGCTGCGGGACCACTCGAGGCTGCCGCTCCTCCGTGCCTGCCATCGCAAGCAGGACAGTGACCTCCCCCGGTGGCTGTGACGGCCAAAAAGGAATCCCAAGTTGTTGAAGCAAAAAGGCAGCAGCTGGAGAGAGAAGCCGGCCCCGGGGATGTTACGGGATGAGAGAAAGAGCAAAAATGCGTTCACCAGGGCCCAGGGCTGGCTACTGGCAGGGAGCAGCTGGTCAGCGGGCCCCGTGGGCCCCGGGTGCGCTCAGGACTTAGGGACCGTCACGCAGACCGGCACCGACACACATGTCACACCCGCGCTCTGCGCTCCTTGGTCGGAAGCGCAGTAAGTGCGGGTTAGGCACTGGCCTCGATCCACTGCGGCTGCTGCCTGCAGACCCAAGAGCACGACCGAGCCGCGGCAGGTGCTGGCAGAGTGTGTCTCTGTGCACAAACCCGTCCGTTATGGGGCTCCGTCCGCGCTGGTAACGGGGCGCTGTGGGAGGGGCCCCGGGCATCGGGGGTCAGGGGGCCTCCTGCAGGAGACAGGGTCTTGGCCCAGACCTGCAGGAGGAATGGGCCTCGACTGGGCGGGAGGGGGGAGCAGCAGGCACCAGGCTCCGGGCTCCGAGGGCCCAGCTTCCCCGGGCTTGCCTGCACCCCAGCGGCCGCAGGGAGGTCAAGCAGCCAGGGCGGGGGAAGGGAAGCAGAGGACAGGCGGGCAGGCCCTGCGCGTCCTGGGACGGTCGACCCGGACTCTGGGGGGCATTCCTCTTTGAGGCTGGAACCAAGTCATAAGCATCTTGGTCCCCACGCCTCCCCTGCTACCTGCCTGCTGCTTGGCACATGGCCTCAGAGGGGAAGGAGAGCAGCCGGGGGCGCAACCTGGAGGCGGGCAGAGCGGGACCCCAGGGCCCTCTGTGGTGGCTGTTGTAGACTGGCTGATCCTGCAAGTGCCCTATGAGGTGGTGTTCGAGGGCGAGCCGCTGGTCCTGCGCTGCCGCGGCTGGTACGACAAGGTAGTGTACAAGCTGCACTACTACCGCGATGGCCAGGCCGTGCGCTACTTCCAATCCAGCGCCAACTACACGGTGCCGCAGGCGCGCGCCAGCGACAGCGGCCGCTACCAGTGCTCCGGCACCATGCGCATCCCCGTGGAGAGCGCGCCCATGTTTTCTGCCAAGGTGGCCGTGACCGTGCAAGGTGCGGAGGCGGGGGTCCGGGGGCGGGGCGAGCGAGCCCGGGGTGTGGTGGAGGACGGGGGTGGGGGGGGGAGGGGAAGGATTCCGGGTCAGGGACCAGGCCGAGAAAGGAGGGGCTGCAGAGGGTCAGGTAGCTGCTGTGGGGCCGTCTCTCTGGTAGACCAGGTGCACTTTCCTCGCCTGTCCCGCAGGGAAGGCGCACTTGACCTGCACCCTGGGTGGGGGCAGCGGCCCTCCCCCCAAGAACTACAAGCACCCCGGCTCTTGCTCCAAGTGGGGGCCCCTCATAGGGGGCGGTGGCCGTGGAGGGGATCCCTGGTGGACTCCGGGCAGGGCGGGCGCCGTGATCCCTTCCACGGCAGAGCCCAAGCTGGGTATCCCTTCCCTCGTGGGCTCTTTGCCACATTTCAGAAGCCTTTCCTCCCACCCGCTCTTTGGTCTCCCGGTGGACGAGGAGCCCTTGCGGGACACCAGACGGAGAGCGGGGTTGGGGGCCGTGGACCGTGCGCCCTGGCTCCCAAGACGCGGGCTCCGGCCTCACACGCGCGCTCCGCCCGCGCCGCCTCCGCAGAGCTGTTCCCGGCGCCGGTGCTGAAGGTGGCGGGCCGCGCGGAGGCCGGCGGGGTGGTCGTGCGCTGCGAGACGCGCCTGCACCCGCGGAAGAGCGCGGTGCCCCTGCAGTTCGCCTTCTACAAGTACAGCCGCGCCGTGCGCCGCTTCGACTGGGGCGCCGAGTACAGGGTCCCCGAGTCCGAGGCCGACGAGCTGGAGTCCCACTGGTGCGAGGCGGCCACCGCCTCCCGCAGCGTCCGGAAACGCAGCGCGTGGCTGCAGCTTCCGGGGCGCGGTGAGTGAGCGTGCGCCCCCAGCACGCGCCCCGCACCCCACCCCGTGTCTCCCCAGCCCCCTCCGGTCGCCCGCCCCGCCGTCCCCTCCACCCCACCGTCCCCTCCACCCCACCCCCGCTCTCGCTGCTTCCGGGCTGGCTCCCTCCCTCGCTCCAGCCCGCGCCCCGCGCTGTGCGTCCACAGGGCCACCCCGGGACACGTCCACCGACGCCCCGGGCCCGCAGGCCCCACCCTTGGCGCCTGGGAACAAGCCGCTTTCCTTCCGAAAACCGCTGGTGTCCACGTCAGTCCCTTTGGTCACCTCTGTCCCCAATGCCACCCCAGCCGGGCGGCGGGTCCCGGCCGGCAGAGCCCCCAGCGCTGCGCCCGCTGTCTGCGCTACGCAGAAGCCCATGGAACAGTCGGCCGGGGCCCTGCAACCGGACGTGGACCTGCTGCTCCGAGAAATGCGGCTGCTCCAGGGCCTCCTGAGCCGGGTGGTCCGGGACAGGAAGGGCCCTCAGGCCTCCCCTGAGCCCAGGGCAGCACCCCAAACCCCCACGGCCCATGAGGCTGAGACCCGGGGAGCCGCGGAGACCGGCGCTGTAGGGCGCTGAGGGGTGGCTGTGTACCCCTTTCAGGCCCGTCTGTCCCACCCCCGCCTTCCTGTCACCTGAGATCTGTACGTGGCCTTTGTGTTCCGTGGTTTTTTCAGAATCGCATAAAGTGTGGTGGCCACAGTCCAGCCTCCACAGCATATTTGCGGTGCAACCGTAAGGTCTCCATCTGATCTCTTTCTTCCGCGTTCGGGAAGGAAGCGGAGACCCGACGTTTACTGCGAGGTGGACGTCTGGAAGGGCATCTAGACGCCCCTGGCTTTCCAGGTAGCCCACCCAGGGCCGACCTCAGCACAAGCAAGGTCACTGGGGTTGAGGTCCCTCAGGAGACGGAGCCTTCCGGGGTGTGCTAGGGTCAGGCTGTGATCTTTGATCATTTAATGCTGGGTTTGAGAAGGCTGTCCGTTCTATTTCTGACTGGTTTATGCCCTGAAAGTTCTGGGCTCGATTTCGTCTTGGAGACCGAAAGGTACCCGTGTGGGCCTCCCGCACCCAGGGCTATAAGGGTCCGCGGGGCACGCCCCATGGGATGGGCATCCTGTCTGTCCGAGGCGGCCGGCCGGCCGCGCGCATGTCAGCCGGGAGTCAGCCAGCGGGCCCACGGCCTCCAGAAACGCCGCTGAAGGAAGTTTAAGACAAATCCTCCAAACTGCGGAATTCTAGTTCTGAAGCAGTTTTTTACTTCCAGAAGAGCCACTGCAACACCAGCACGCCGGGCCACGCCCCACCCTGCGGGGTGACGTCCCTGTCACCTGAGGGGAAAAAGCAGGAGGCCGTCCCCTGCAGTCCTAGGGTGTCTCCCTGCGGGGGGCCCGTCCGCCTTCGGGAGTCCCCCCCATTCCCTGCAGGGCTGGCGCTCAGCAGTGTCTGTTCTCACTGGGCCCCCGCGCCCTCCCTCGGCGCCTGTCCCGTGGGACCGGCAGCAACGCTGTCCTCTTCACTTGAACTTGATAGCTACGCAGGCACAGCCCGATTTCCCGTGTTCTGGGAGCAACTAACCAGAAAAGCACCCTGTCCTTCATCACACTCTTCTCGGCCTTGTTCTTCCCGCTGCTCCCGCGTGGCTGGAGTGACAGGGGGGCGGGGCCCCAGGATTCCAGTGTCGTGAGCATGTGCGGAGCTGGGCGGGCAAGCAAGACGCCGCCACGTGGTGGCTGGGAACGGGCTGAGGACGCCGCTGTTTCCACGGAGACAGGAGGGACCCCAGTGTGTGTGTAGGACCAGCAGTAATTGGGAGCGGCTGGGGAACTGCGGGCGCCTGCAAGGGTGGGGGTGTCCCGGAGAAGGTGACGGGAGAAGCTCGCAGGCCGCAGGAGGGGACCCGGGCCGCGAGGTCGTGTGGGGAAGCCCTCGCACCTGTGGGTATTCAGGGCAGGGACCTGGAAGCCCCCTTTGCTGGGACCAGTGAGCCTGGCTGGAGGGTACGCCCGTTTTCCATGAGAAAAGGACGGAAGGGCCGGGCCTCAGCGGGCACCTGCTTATCGCTGAGAAGGTCAGCCCGGGCCCCGGGGCGCGGTCCTGGGTGCTGGGCGCCCGGGGTCTGCCGCTCGGATGGCCGGCTCCCCTGTGCGGTCCGTCTCGCTCCGGAGCGCCCCGCCCCCAGCGAGCCCCGCGTTGCCGACCCCGCCGCCCACCTTCCTGCGGACTCGGTTCCCCGCCTCCCCAGGCTCCAGCCACTGCCCCCTGCCCCCCCCACACACACTGCACACAGGAAGGGATTAGCATTAGCACCGCGAGGCTTAGCCATCGAAGGATCTCCTTGTAGAAAAATCAGTCGGACATTTTGTAAGACAGACAAAAAGCCAACTAGACCCTCCCGAGAGAGCCAAGGGGGCCGGCTGGCCCGCCCGGCACCCTTCCCGCCCCACCTGCCTCCGGTTAGAAGCGGGGTGTGGGCGGGGACTCGTGAGGGCTGATGGGTGAGAATGAAGACCATTCCCGACCCAGCTTTCCCGTGAGCGTGCGTGGGGGGCGATGTTGGCCTCTGTGCCCTCCGGACCCCACTGCCTTTGAGCCCCCAGCTCTGCTAGACCACAACTGCCCTGCGAGGCCTGCACGGGCCCTGCTCCTCTGGGGGAAAAGCCCTCACCCAGCATCAGGCGCAGGCTCCAGCCTGAGCTTAGGGAGCGGAAGGCGGGCCAGGCCAGGTGCGCCTCGGGCTCGCTCCCGAGCAGCCAGGGCAGCCGCACAAGCCGGGGGCTGCGGGGAAGCTGCTGCCGCCCAGTCCCACACCCTGAGTCTGAGGGTGTCCATGCCGGAGGCGGACGAGGAGCCCATGTCCTCGGAGAGCAGAGAAGGGCTTGGCGAGTCCCCAGCCCCAGCCTCCCCGCCTCACTCCGTGCTGCCCGCCAGTGGCGGCTTCTTGCCTTGACTTTGCTCGGCGGAAGGAGGGAGCTCTTTCGGCTCTGCACCGCGGACTTTTCTCCAGGGCGTGGGCCAGTCCTCCGGGATACAGCCCACGCTCTGTCGCACGGCACCCAGAGCCTGTCCGCCCTGTGCCCGGGCCACGGGCTCTCCGCCTGGCACTCCAGCCTCCTGCTCGCCGCGGGATCTGCCCCTCCCGGGGGGCTGGCTGGGCCCCCGGCGCCCAAGCTTCCTCGTGTGCAGTCCGAGGGAAAGACAGACGCGTAAGCAGACCCTTCCATTGATTACGGCTTAAGCTTAGAAGCACAGAGAAGAGGCAAGTTGCTGTTTGCCAGGCCCTACGGACGGGTGCATGGATGTTCCTGAAACGTTTGAAGGTGCGGGCAGTGAGTCTCCCCACAGCTCCCTCCTTACGTCTACATCCTTGGGCACCATGTGCGCATCCTGTGGGACAGACTGTCAAGTTACCCCTCAAAGGGATTTAACAATGTGCACGACTGCACGAGAGAGCTTGCCTCACCCCCCCTCTTTGGGGACAGGATCATCGCTTTTAGTTCTATCTATTTACTTATGAGAGGGGGAGAGGGAGAGAGAGAGAGTGGTTTGTTGTTCCACTCACTTGCGCATTCGTTGCTTGGTCCTTGCACATGCCCTGACCCGGGATCGCTGTTCTGACCACTGAGCCGACCGGCCAGGCCCCCTTTTCACTCGCCCCGTTGAGGGCCCCCCCCCGATGGCATCGCACCCTGGTGTGGAGCAGTGGCCGGCAGCCGTTGCAGGGCCCGCCCGCCCGTCTGTCCTCTTGGGCCCCTGCCCCGCGGGCCCCCGGGGAACGCGCTGCCGACCACTGTCCGGGGGAGCTCTCACCCGTGGCCCCATTATCCCAGTTCTTCACCCACTTCCACGGACCACGTGTAACGTGTGCTGTGGTTCACCTGTCCTGTTTACCGTGTCCTGCGGTCACAACGCCTGCAAAGACCGCTGGTGCCCATGCCGACGTCCCATCCTTAATGACAGGTGGACATCCTGACTCAGCTAACAAACGCCTGAGGGCAAAGAGAGGGTGCCGCGCACTTGAGTCTTTTTCGGTTCAGAGGAGCCGATCTCATTATGGCGACATGGGAGGGGACCATTGTCCCAGCGTCAACGGTAAACATGCCCCCAACGCAGCCCACGTGTGACGGCCGCGTTAAGCCGCCTTGGACCTGGAGGTGGGAGAGGGCGGAGGTCAGGCCCCTGGCTCGGGGGGCAAGAGCCTGGGGTTCCAATGCCGCTTCTGTGACTCGCCAGCTGTGTAGCCGTGGGCAGGGCACGCAGCCTCCCAAGTTCTGTCTCCGTGGTGGCAGACGCAGGGCGCAGCGGCGAAGGGGACTCTGGGAAGGGAAAAACGCGACCGAGTAACGCTTTTCACCAGGTCCTTCCGGCTTAATTAGAAATAGAATTTTTACAACTCCTCCCGCAGCCTTACCTGTGCACGAAAAGGAGAGAAGAGAAATCAGTTGGGGAAGGTATTCCCAGAACTCCTTCGCTTTCAGTCTGACCTTTCTGAATCACTTCTCAGCCCACGTTTATCAGCATCCAAGGGTCCCTACCCTTGCGACACTTGTCCTAGGAAGGGCAAAGGGCCAGGGCAATACAGCCTTTCCGACAAGTTTCTTAGAAGCAGCTGTGATTATTACATTGTTGCCAGATTTGAAGCTGACTTCGCAGTTCAGGGGAGCTGGCTCACTGTTTCAGGAATGTTGCTAAATGTGTCTGATTCAACCCACCCCACCTCTGACCACAGATGGCAAGTATCAGCGTCACCCGCTGTCTCTGGAAATTTCTGGGTGGCTCTGGCAACGGGAAGTCCTTCCTTACACACAATGAGGCCAGGGACTTCATTGTGACACGTGCCCCCACTGCTGCTTCCCAGGTTGTGACGGGAACCAGCCTAAGTCCTGGTGCTCTTGTCTGTCCGTGCACAGACGCCGCCGAGGAGCTGTTTAGTTTTCCAGGAAGACGGAGGTTCCTTCTCGCTGCTTTCTCCCAGCCAGAGTGCCTGACTGTTCTCCTTCCGAGTTCCCTGTCCGTCCGGCCCTTCGCCCCCTGTAGCTCCGCGTTGGGCCTGAGGTGTGGGGCCCACGTCGGCCGCCGCTCCCCTGAGGCAGGAAAGCAGGGTTTTATTTTTATTTGTCACAATTAAGCAGCTGTACTTGGAACAGGATGTCGAAGGTGATATTTCATGACGGGAAAGACATGAAGCTCGGAAGCGAGATCGTCACCAGCAGAGTTTGCACAGGAAAGGCGGGGTCTCGCCCTTGGCGTTGGACTTTGCGGTCACAACGAGGGGGGGAAAGGGTCAGCGTGGGGAGAGGAGAGAGGCCTCAGAGGAGGTTTCTTTGTCACAAAGTGAGTCCCCATCGCAGCCCCCATCCTAGTGGGCAGGTGCCTAAAGAGGGAGAGGGGAGGGCTGGGAGGTGTCCCTGTATCGGGGAGACCCAGGGAAGGGGGCTCAACTCACACCTGGGGGAGCAGAGGCCGTGGGATGGGGGGCCTGTGTGGGGTCAGCCCGAGCCCAGAATGTCCGGGGTCAGCCAGGCGCGTGCGTGTTGGTGGTCCATGTAGGACGGAGCTGTCCCAGGCCTGTCTTAGGTCCCACACAGCAAGACCACCAGGGCGGGCAGAAACAGGTGCCCAGAAGCAGGGTGCCTGGAGCTGAAGGAGGGGGTGCAGCAGGCACCTGGAAGAGACGCGTCCGCCCTGAGCGCGGGACAGAGGACAGCAGTCCCAAAGAGCAGCCCCTGAGGTCCACAGCAGCGCCCAGCAGAGACAGTGGGCCCTGGCCACCTGCCTGGCTTGGCAGGCGGAAAGCTGCCCAGCCAAGCGAGACCTAGCTGTTCCCTCCCCTGGTGCCCTCCCTTCCCCCTTCCCCCTTCCCCCTCCTGAGGCTTCCGTGGGGAGCAAAGGAAGCAGATGCAAATAAGAGGGGAGAGTGGGGGGGGGTAGAGAGAGACACACAGAGATGCACACACGCACACACACACAGAAAGGGGGGAGGGGGAGGTCAAACTCCTCCCCCAAGTTGGGACCTCGGCTGCGCTGGCCGAGGAGGACCGGCCGAGGGGGCCGAGGGTGTCTCTGGGCGGCAGGGCAGGGCAGGTCTGCGTGATGAAGGGGAGCCGGCCTCCCAGAACCGGAGCCTGGCCCCGGGGCCTCGGCCGGTGCTGCCCAGAGCAACTCCTCAGCCGGTTTCCAGAAGCTACCGAGGCCTCCCAGGCACAGTTGCTCTCGGCCCCGTGTGCCGTGCAGGGCTTCGGGCACCCGGCGGCACAGGGTCCATGCGCCTCAGCTGCTGCAGTTCGGGGAGCGAGTAAGAGGCTGAGGTGGGCGCAGACCAGCCCCCGCCACCAGACGGGAGAGGGTGCGTCCGAGAGGTTCGCCGCTGCGGCCGGCCTGGGGGCCCCGTCCGACCTGGTCACCGCGGAGGCTGGGAGGTGGGGCGCCCCAGAGGAGCCGCGGGGCGGTGGCGGGGGGTGGAGACAGGCGCCGGGGGGCGTGGGGTTCGCGTGGCCCAGAGGGCGCGGCGCCCGGAGCCGGTGCCCGCCGGCCGCCTGCACACGCGTGGGGAAGCCCGACTTCAGCTCCCACTGGAGTAGCGCAGTTGTTTTCTTTTTGGGGGGAGGGAGGACCACAGTGCTGAATCTTCCATTAGTTTCTTTTGAATTTTGTCTTTGCCCGTTTAATAGACAGTTTTGGACCCCAGTGGAGTCGCGGGCAAGCTGCCACGCATGCCACTCAGGTAAGCGCGGGTTCTGTGCCCGAATCCAAATTACTCAGAAAAGGGAAACGTTGGATGAGCGGATTAAAGACAGTGGGTGATGGTTTTCTCTCACTAGAGGTCTCTCCCGATGGATTGCGGTCGGTCCATTTCTTGCCTTTTGGGGACAACGGCTTAACCAACTGCCACCCGAACTCGGTGGCTCTAATATCCCGTATGTCGGCGCGCCGTGTCCCACAGGGGATCCGTGGGGTGGGGGGCCGTGAGAGTCAGCGTGACCCCCAGCCGGGAGGTCGGGGGCTTCCGTCCCAGGGACTGCGGCCTCCGACTGACTCCTCTGCTGCGCTTCTGCTGCCCCCTGCTGGGGCCGCGGCTCCTTTACAGTTGACGAGGGACATAGACGTCAACCCTTGTCTCTGTTGTGAAATGGTCCCTCCAAGTCTAGCTAACAGTTTTTCCCTTGCGATGAGAAGTTTTAAGGTCCCCTCTCTACGGAAACCTCGAACATGCAAGGCGGGCCCCCGCAGGCCCCCGCCCCCGCTGACGCATAGCCGACGCGGCCGCTCCTCCGTGCGGCGCGGACACCGGCTCCCCGCGGGAACCCGCCCCGGAGCGTCGTTGGGGCCGACGGCAACCTCGCCGGTCTGATTGCCTGAAGGCGTGGGAGCAGCTGGGTTTGTCCACTCAGACCCCGGTGTCCCCACTAAGGGATCGGAGACCCCCCGAGAAAGGGGCTGTGGAAACACGAGTCCCGGGGCGGCGCAGGGGCCACTTCCCTCCCTGGGGCCGCACCTCGGCGTGGCCGCGGTTAGGCTGGGACATCGGCGGCGTGATGGACGCGCGTCCCAGGGTGGCCTGTGAGTCGCTCTCGCTAGACACGTCAGGCGCCATCCGGGGCGGGCGGCTCGCGTCCTGGCCTCCTGCCGGTGGCTGCCCGCCGTCGGCCTCCGCACGGCGCTTCCCAGCCTCACCCCTCCTCTCCTTCTCCTCCGGGGGTGGGTAGGGGGGAGGCCGTCACCTTCTCAGGGAACTTTGCCCAGCGCCCCCACCCGCATCCCGGCCAAAACAGGATTATTTTTTGTCTGAGCCGCAGCTCATGGCTTGGGGAGACACCCCTTGTCCACAGGGTGGGCGCTTGACCTTCATCTTATTCATGTGCGTCTTCAGCGCTGAGCAAAAACAAATAAGTTGAGAATAAAATACTCGGGGGGAGGGGGTCGTTACGTAAATCTGAAAAGCGTGCGGCG